GTGAGCCCGCCATCTCTTCCTGGTATCGTGTCGGCGCCTTGCTCAGGGCGAGAGGTCAGGAGGAAAAGGAAGGAATGTTTGGATCTAGGTCGCACGAGGGGGCGCGAAGATGACCGCGCCTCTCGGGGGCGCGGGGGGGGAGGGAACCCGAACCCAGGCACGTAGGTTACCAGTGTCGCATCGCAGGCAACGATCGGTAAGCCGCGCACCAGAAGTCGTTCCTGTCTGTAACCGCCTCAGTTGCACACTCTTTTCCATCCTCCGCCATCCCTCCTTCCACCCTCTCTCCTCCACAATTGTCCAGTACGAATACTACTCTCCTCTCCCCCCGAAGATAGCCAGAGAGTCGCCCGCCCCCCTCCGACTACTGTTTTTTTCCCGCACAGAACGTCGACATGTTTTGGTACCAGATCCTTTTTTTGTTTGCTCGTTTTTGTTTTTTGCAATCCGATCGTTTTCGGTCCTTCTCATCCTTGCTGCCCCCTTCTCTGCCGAAGGTCCAGTGGCAGAATTCGATCTGTAAATCTGTAAGCCCGCTGACCCCCGCACCACGCCGGGCGGATACTACCGGCTGTGGGTGGTCAGAGATCCTACGACCGGACGTTTTTTCTTTAGTCCGCCCCGCCCCCGTGGGGGGAATCCGAGCCCGAGTGGCTGGGCCTTCCTCCGGGGCGGTGTTCGGAGTTTCTGGGCGCCGCCGCGTGGCCATGCAGCAACTCCAGCTGATCTCGTCGGCTCTAGCAGGGCAGCGACCGCCAAGACGGGCCGATCTCCGGACGGGGGTCTGGAGCTGTAGCAAACTAGAATGGGCCTAGCGGCACCGCCTGTGGTTTGTCTCTTCGGACGGGGGTCCGAAGTCGATTTGTGAAGACATTGAGTTCAGCAACAAAATGTACGTAGCTCCCTTAGCCTTGTTGTGCGTGACACGATGAGGTCCTTTTTGGAATGCCAGGTCCGCTCTGAGGCGCGTCAGCGGATTGAGAAAACATCATCGCCAGGGGAATGGATGTGTGGGAGGGTAGGATGTCAGATACGGCGCGAGCGCGCCTACGGTGACCCACCGTAGCTTGTCCTTTCCTCTCTCCTTTTTCCCCCTCTTCTCTCCTCCCTGCTCTCTCTCTCTCTCTCTCCTCCCTGCTGCTGCACGTCTTCTCTCGTCTCCTTCCTTAGCCAGAAGAAAGACGCCGGCATAGATATAAGCTTTCGGAGGCCCATGAAGATGTCTTGGATCGGCGCTGGACCCCCTCCATGGCGTTTTGGGCGCCGCCCCTGGTGCGCTCCGCGCGCGAAGGAGGGGGGTCCAGCATTGATTCGAGACGTCTGACCGTTTACATTTGTGTCGCTGGAGCTCCCGAGCCTGGATGGCACCCGGGCCCAACGGCGGCCCGTGGAGGCCGACGCGGCAGGACTAAACGCTGCGACGGAGAGGACCTCGGCGCGTCGGAGGTCTGGGTCACCCTTGCGTGCAGCCGGCTCAGCTGCTCGGCCCCTCGGGCATCACGGGCGCGTGCCCTCCGTTTGCTCAAGCCCCTCAGGCCTCTGGGGGCTCGACGGCATCTCGCCCGAGGCCCTCCTCGCGACCCTTGGCGTCCCAGTGGCTGCTTCTGAGGTTCCCGCCCGGGGCCTGCGCAAGACGACCCGGGACGAGAGGAGAGCTGGCCTTCGGGGAAGAGGTCGAGAGCATCCAGAGGGCGGCGGCCCGAGCAGAGGTCGGGCCGTCGGAGGTCTCGGCCCCGCCGTCTGCAACACTCACGGGGGCCACCGAAAGCTTTTGGGCCCCCGGGCCGACAGAAGCACCCGCTGTGTGCTGGCGGCGACGTGAGGCAGGCGGCGTCGGATGCGGTGGGGGCACTGGATGAGGGACCATGGGGTAAGGAATCCAGGGTCTGAGACCCTGGTGGAGCACCAATTGAAGCCTGCCCATGGGTATCACCGACGCCCTCATCAGATAAGGGCCCTCCAGGGTCTGAAGCCTCCTGGGCACATGCCTTAACGAACGCCCCCCACCGTGGCCGCAGCCGGGACGGGGCAAGGCCACTTGTGCACCGATGCGCGCCGCGCTGCCTGATCCCAGTTGCCATCGTCTGGATGAATTGCCACGCAGTTTCTCCCATCACGTTTGTACGACTAGCAGTGCGCGTGTCTTGCTGTGCTCGTTCGTCCGTGGATGGCGCGATTGGGACAGCTTTTTTTTCCGAGGGACAGCGGATTTCTCGAGCTGCCTGTCCTGGTTGTTCTCGAGGGGCAAGCGAGTGCGCACCGATGCACCACGGCAAGAGGAGGAGCGGCCGCGACGGAGCACTGGAGGAGGGAGTCGAGAGACGCACACCCGACGGGGGAGTCCTCGGGGCCCGTGCCCTCCTGGTCTCTCCTGCGCCTCGCTGCCCCTCTTGGGGGCGCCTCCAGAGGGGGTGTCCTCCCCGCTTGCGCGACCGACTTCGGAGAACAGGCGGGCCGTGTGCCGTTCTGTTGCCTCCCTCTGCAGACCTTCCACGCATTGAACATCACATTCAATAGTGCTTTTTCCTCGTTGTCCGCCTTCGGGGCCCCCCACTGGGGCCCTGGGAGCTTCAACAAAGAGAAAAGCTGGTCCCCGGGAAAAGGTTCAGACCCTTGGGGAGTCACGTTGTGAAATAATCACGACGTCGGATGTCTGGGTCTGCCTCCCTTGGAGGTTGGTAGAACGCCCACCCTGCCAGGTCGATTAGCGAATTGCTCTTTTCCGGTTCTCGAGAGGGCGTTGGGGCCGCAGTTTTTTGCGGGCCTACGCTCCGCTGGGTCTGGCCCCAGGTCGTCTTTCTTACAGGGTGTTTTGCTAAAGGGGTGTCTGTCCACCTCCGAAGTAGGCAGGGCCGCATGCCGTTCTTTCTGCTCCCTCTGTACTCTCCTTTCTCTCGCATGGGCGTCGTGTGATCCAGTTTGCGCATCCCTAGGGTGGACCGATATGTCCAGATGTGGGTGAGGGTGGTAGATCCTAATTCCTGTTTAGAAAGGATACCTATGCGAAGCGGCGACGGGGCGGCGACGGCGACAACATAGACGCCAGACCGCCTCTCAGGCCCAGATGACGGGCGGCGACGAGGCGGCGATGGGGCGGCGACGGCGAGCACGGAGCCACCAGACCGACAATCAGGCCCAGACGACGGGCGGCGACGATGCGGCCACGGCGAGCACGGAGCCGCCAGACCAACATTGAGGGCTAGCTCCTGAGAAGAGAATTAAGAACTCCTCAAGTACAAGCACAGATTGGGGAATTTAGTCTTGGTTCGGGACATACAAGACCCCACCACATCCCGGAGTTTGACTTCGTATCGGCGTTGTCTTGGGGTCATCTTGAGAGTGTATCAGGGCTATGCTAGGGCCATGGTGTTGTCTTCTGGCATTGCTCTGGGCACTTTCTGCCCGCCTGGAGGCCATCGCATGGCCATTGAGGCGATCTCTTGATCGCCCGTTGCATACATGCTGGGCCGCTTTGGGGCTGCACAGCGCCCTGCCGGAAGCCTCGTCGAGACCATGTGCGGATCGCTTGGCCCTTTTGGGGTCGCCCTGAGGGCGCCACGCTGAGGACGGACGACAGCACCGGACAATGACCATGAGACTGATGAGGCGGAGCCTCCAGTTCTCACAATTAGCTTGCCTGAGCTGTGTCGGCGCAGCACTCGGATGCCTGATGGGGATTCTCCGCGAATGATGGGAAATCGAGTTGACTGCAGAGCAAAACAAAAAAACGCTGGGTTCGGTTCGCGTCGCGTTGACGCCGCGGCGACCCCGCCGCGGGCGTTCCAGGTGGAAAGCCGCCAGTGGCATCGGCCAATCTGGAACGATCCGGCGATCGCAGGGCCGCCGGTCGTGCGAGCTTGCACGAACCACGCGGTGCCGGAAAACGGCGCCAGGCCCGACAGGAAGCCGCACCATGGTCGGGCCGCTTGGTGCTTTGGGGCCACCTTTGGGAGCGCACTGGGTGCGGGACGGGAAAATGACCACAGCCACTGCTTTTTTTTTGCGCCGCCTTCCAGCCGGCCGAAAAAGAAGCAGTGGTTGTGGTCATTTCCCTGGTGCCAAGCTCAACGAAAATGACCACAACCACTGCTTTCTTTCTGCGGGCTGGAAGGTGGCAACAAAAGAAAAGCAGTGGCTGTGGTCGTTTTCCCCCCCCGTACTGGGGTTGTGGGGCCGCCTTAGCATCGGTTTGGGTCCTCTTGAGGCCTTGCGCGTTTCCAGGGAGACTTCTGTTGCAGCCGAGTGTGGTCCCTCGTTTGCTCTCCGGGGTGGCCTCCCGTGGGCGCTCCCGCATGCTCTGCCGTACGGTACCCCGTATGTGCAGGAGATCTTCATGGTCCCTTCACTGTTTGATTATGTGGAAGAGCGTGTTCTACCGCTGCTGGCGGAAACCCAGGGGGGTCATTGGGGGTTCCCAACCCGTCCCCCCCCCTCAGAAACCAGGGGGGGTCACTACTGGTTCGAACACCCCCCCCTCGAAAACCAGGGGGGTCTCTACCAGTTCGACCCCCCCCCCACGAAAACCAGGGGGGGCCACTACCGGTTCGAACCCCCTCCCCTCCCCCCACCCTCCGCTCCAGAAAACCGGGAGGGGTCACTACTGGTTCGAGCCTCCCCCCTCGAAAACCAGGGGGGTCATTACAGGTTCGAGCCCCCCCTCGCCGCCCCCCCCCTCACCGCCAGCAAACGACACCCGGGTCCCCACCACCGTCCGCACCACATCCCCCACTGCTGTCCCCAGCACCACTGTCCTCACCACCACTGTCCCCACTGTTCCCACCACCGTCCCCACTGTCCCCACCAGTGCCCCCAGCACGGTCGCACTGTCCCCACTGTCCCCACCACTGTTCTTACCACGGCCCCACTCTCCCCACTTTCCCCACGGCCCCAACCACTGTCCCACTGTCCCCACTGTCCCACTGTCCCACTGTCCCACTGTCCCCGCCGCTGTCCCACTGAGCTGTCCCACTGTTCCCACCACTGTCCCCACTGTCCCCACCACTCTCCCCACTATACCTCTGTCCCATTGTCCCACCACCGTCCTCGCCACCGCCCTCACCACTGTCCCCACCACCGTCCGCACCATTGTCCCACTGTCCCCACCACATTTCCACTGTCCCTACACCACTGTCCCCACCACCACCGTCCCCACCACTGTCCCACAGTCCCCACCAATGTCCCACTGTCCCCACTGTTCCCACCATTGTCCCCGCTGTCCCCACCAGTGCCCACCCTTGTGTCTTACTGTCCCCACTCTCCCCACAAATTGTCCCACCACGGTCCCACTGCCCCACTGTCCCCACTGTTCCCGCGACTGTCCCACTATTCCCACTGTCCCCGCTGCTGTCCCACTATGCTGTCCCACTGTCCCCACTGTCCCCACCACTGTCCCACTGTCCCCACTGTCCCCACTGTCCCCACCACTCTCCCCACTGTACTACTGTCCCACCACCGTCCTCACCACCGCCTTCACCACTGTCCCCACCATTACCGTCCCCACCACCGTCCGCACCACTGTCCCACTGTCCCCGCACTGCTGTCCCCACCACCACCGTTCCCACCACTGTCCCAGTATCCCCACCACTGACCGACTGTCCCGAGGAGCGGGAATCGTTTGCCGGCGGCGATGGGGGGGGAGGGGAGGGGGGTTCGAACCGGTAGTGACCCCCCCCGGTTTTCGAGGGGGGGTTCGAACCGGTAGTGACCCCCCCTTTCATGATAGACGGGGGGGGAGGAGGGGTTCGAACCAGTAGTGACCCCCCCCAGTTTTCTGGAGGGGGGGGGAGGGGTTCGAACCGGTAGTGACCCCCTTGGTTTTCCCGAGGGGAAGGGGGGGGGGGTTAGGAGGAGGGGGGGGGGTGGGTTGCCGGGAGGAAGGGGGGGGGGTCCAGCTGGGGGGGGATTTTCGGAGGGGGGGATACGGGGGGGGACCCCCGGGTTCCGGAGGAAGAGGGGGAGGAATTTGCCACAGTAAAGCGGCGGTGGATCACGCTCTCTCGATTTTGCTGTTCGCAGTGTTCTGCCGCCAGGGTGTAGCTTTTCAAGTCGTTGGGGTCAGACATCGAGCCCCGCACCTGTCCTGGTGCGCGTTCCGACTGGAATCTCCCCCGGCGGATCCAGCCGTGGCGACGGCGGGCCTCCCGTAAGCCCCCCCCCCAAAAAAAGGGCGCATGGCCGAAGAATAGCATTCGATGCTCGATTCCTCGATTTCTCGATCCGATGTAGTGATTTCTCTAGTGCGGGGTCCCCGGAAGTCCCGACCCCTTCCCCGGGGCAGGTTTGCAATCCCGCGCCGTGTTCTGACGGTCGTGGGGCCTGGCGAGGGCTCCCAGAGGCTGAGAACCGTGAAAATCTTCCGCGCTCGAGTTTTTCAAAAGCCCAAGCTCAGCGACGTTGGCTGGCCAACCTCGTCCAGAAAACGTCAACGGGGGCCTCCAAGGCCCTTGCATCCTTACCGCGAATCCTTCCGATGCGGATGTACCCATCGATCGTTGAAAGCAGGTACTTTTGCATTCCCAGATTCCAATCTACTTTCATACATGGCGAGGCTCCCGGCGACCCGGGCGGTGAGGGTGCCCAGGGCGCCTCCACGTTGGAGGTCTGGGTGACCCCCCCCGCGGGTGCCACGGTGCAGCCGCGGCGGTGCCGAGGACGCGCACGCGCTGCTCCTGGCAGGCCTCGGCGCGCTGAAGGGGGGCGCGGCCGCGCCGCCGCTGGTGGGCGGAGGCGCCTGCTCGCGGTCTCCTCCTCCTCCTCCTCCTCCTCCTCCTCCTCCTCCTCCTCCTATCTCCCTTTTCCTCCTCCTCCTATCTCCTCCTTCTCCTCCTCTCCTCCTCCTCCTTCTCCCCCTCCTCCTCCTCCTCCTCCTCCTCTCCTCCTCCTCTCCTCCCTCTCCTCCTCCTCCTCCTCCTCCTCCTCCTCCTCCTCCTCCCCCTTCTCCCCTCCTCCCCCTCCTCCTCCTCCTCCTCCTCCTCCTCTCCTCCTCCTCCTCCTCCTCCTCTCCCTCCTCCCCCTCCTCCCCCTCCTCCTCCTCCTCCTCCTCCTCCTCCTCCTCCTCCTCCTCCTCCTCCTCCTCCTCCTCCTCTCCCTCCTGAAGCTGGAAGCAGTGGGTCCAGAAGTCGGAGCTGCCACGCCCTCCCCCCCTCCCCAGGGGCGGTCGCCCCTTGAGTGGGGGGGGAAACTACGAAGGATGAGGAGGATCCCCTGGGGCAGGGGTCGGAGTAGCGAAGTCCCCCGGCAACCCCTGGGGGGGAGGAGAATGACGAAACGGCGCAGACCACCCTGCAACCAAGGCGCAAAGGGAGCGAGGGAGGCGGGGTGGGAGGTGGCGGCCGCTGCGGCGAAAGTGCGGGGCGGCAGGCGGGAAGCGGTAAGCCGAATTAGTGGGAGGTGAGCTGCTGGGTAGGAGTTCCCAGTAGGATCGTGCAACGTTCCCAAGCACCGCTTGCACTAGGCGTGGAGGCGGCAGGCTGACTGTCGGGCAGGTGGCAAGCGGTACCTATGCAGTTCTTGGCCGTGGGAGGAAGAGGATGAGGAGGAGGAGGGGCGTCTGCTGCGGGTTGCGGCGACAGGATGCGGCGAGGTGTGCGACAGTTGCGGCCAGAGTGTGGGTGGAGGGCTGCCAGGTAGGAGTTCCCAGGAGGGACATGTGCCGTTTCCAAGCGCTAGCGTGCAGAAGGCGCGGAGGCGTCAGACTGGCTGTCGGGCAAAAGGGACAGCTGAGTAGTGAGAGATGCGCAAGCGAAAGCGGCAGAGGGGAAGTACGGTGGGGGCTCTCGCTAAGGAATGTGCCTAGGAGCTTTCAGACCCTGGATGATTCCCTATCCGATGAGGGTGGCGGTATTATCCATGTGGCGAGGGCGCGGGACTGCGGTTAAATTTGATCATTTGCATGCAGGCGCCTGGCCTCGGTTGGGCACGCGGAGAGATACATATAATTCCCATCACCGCAGCAGGGCGCGCTGGCTGGCAGTGTGGCTGCTGCGGTTTTGTGGCCGCAGCCCACGGCCGCCAGTTGCCGTACCTAAGCGGGGAGGCGTGAGGGCCTCTCCCCTCCATCCAAAGGGTTCCCCTGGAAACGACTCCCTGTCCCCCCCCTTCGGCGTCCACAGCCTGCCGAGGAATGCTGAGGCTATCCGTAGGCGGGGCGGGACACCGTTTCAGGTGACGCCCGCAGGTGGAGGGGAGGTGCACGCCTTCCCTGCGGGCGGCCGGTGGTTCTAGCGCCCCCGTGCAAATCCCCCAGCATGATCACCTCCTCAAGCCCCCCCGCCGCCCAATCCCGATCCAGCAATGCAATGGCGGCTGCGGGCTAGTCACAGCCGCCCTGTGAGTTGTTGGTCGCCGCTTTAGGGCTGGTAGTGTCCGGCTGGCTGGAGGTCGTAGTGGTGTAGGAGTCGTTGGTGGCGGTGCCAGCGGTGTCCCGCCACCAATGTCCATTCACCCATGCCAATTGGATCCGTTGGACCCCAAGCCGAGCACCTCTGAGGCCCAGGCCCCTCAAGGGGCTCGAAATTAGTACGAGAGAATACCGAAGCATCTTCGCCACCACCCTGAAGGTTTGGGTGGGGGGCTCGATCCAACTGTTGAAATAGTTCGGTCGCTCCCGATGTCGAATTTGGAGTGCATATTATATGATAATACTTGGTATTATCGTATCGTAAGTTATATGGTATACTGTTATAACATCTCGTATCACACTAAATCATGATATATTATAAGAGAGTCTTGGATACAGTGTACGAATTTATTTACTCGTATAGTATAGTGTATTGGAACATATGATGTTGCAGTATATATTATATTGTATTGCGTTGTGTGATTTACTCTGTTATATGGTATTAAATTATCTGGTATGCTATCGTTTTATATGGCATGACATGAACGTATATGATATGGTATGGTATGATATTACACTTCACCACACCATATCAAGTCACTTATTAAACACATGTTTTGTTGCATTATATGGTGTTATATTATTTTCTATGTCGTCATATGGTATTATACATATTACATTAACTGATATTCTATGATATTGCATCGTCTTATGGCGTATGACGTGACCTTGTAGATGTTATCATATTTTATTGGGGACTGGTATGATAACTTGCACTGTGTTGTAATACTTATATAAACATATCAGATTATTTTTTTTTACTATAGTATTTCATGATACAACACTGTTCGATGCCAAGCCATACCATATCATATTTTGATATATATTATCTTATGCAAAAACACAGGATATGACATGTCAGCATATTGTATTCCTCTACTCTACATTCTAGTGTATTGAATTCTATGCTATCATATCATTCTGTATTATATAATATTACACTGTATCATTTTTATCATATAACGTCATATTGTAGTGTATGGTATTGTATTATGGCATATCATGTTTTGTTATATGGTATTCTGTCATATTATGTTTTATCATCCTATATTCTGTTACGCTATATTTTTTTTATTTGGTCGTATATAGTATGATATACTTAATATTATTTTATATCTCATTGCATCGCAGTACATTATATTGCACTATCGTTATTTTCCGGTGTACTCTTATTTATTATATTATATTGTTTTGTATTGCGTTGTATCATTTCATTCCCTACCTAGGCTCTGCCTAGAAGGGTTCTTACTCGCTTGGCTTAAAGGGGCCGGGCAGTGCAAACCGCCCCGGGCGGTTCCCCCAGTCCCCTGGGAGCCAAGCAAAAGCAACAGCAAAGGTAAAAGCAAACGCGCGGTTCCCCCAGTTGCGCTCCCTGGGTGCCAAGCTAAAGCAAAAGCAAAGGCAAAAGTGAAGGCAAAAGCGAAGGCAAAGCAAAAGCATAACACAGCATAGCATAGCATAGCGCAGCATATCATCGCGCAGCATAGCCTAGCATAGCATAGCATAGCCTAGCGTAGCCCAGCATAGCATTTCGCAGCATAGCATAGCATAGCGCAGCACAGCATCCACTATTGCTGCTGATTTTATATATATACTTCTATGTGTGTGCGCACGTATGTTCATGTAGGTGTCGATGTAGATGTAGGTGTATATATAGATGTACATGTAAAGAACTCCCCAGTGCCCCGCCCTCATCTCCGTGCCTGCTTGCTTTTGCTGCTGTCTCGGCGACTTGCTGCCTGCTTCTGCTGCTGCTTCACTTACGGCGTGGCGTCGGCGGTTCTGGCGCTACTACTACTACTACTACTACTACTACTACTACTACTACTACTACTACTACTACTACTACTACTACTACTACTACTACTACTACTACTACTACTACTACTACTACTACTACTACTACTACTACTACTACTACTACTACTACTCCTACTCCTACTCCTACTCCTACTCCTACTCCTACTCCTACTCCTACTCCTACTCCTACTCCTACTCCTACCTACTCCTACTCCTACTCCTACTACTCCTACTACTACTACTACTACTACTACTACTACTACTACTACTACTACTACTACTACTACTACTACTACTACTACTACTACTACTACTACTACTAACTACTACTACTACTACTACTACTACTACTACTACTACTACTACTACTACTACTACTACTACTACTACTACTACTACTACTACTACTACACTACTACTACTACTACTACTACTACTACTACTACTACTACTACTACTACTACTACTACTACTACTACTACTACTACTACTACTACTACTACTACTACTACTACTACTACTACTACTACTACTACTACTACTACTACTACTACTACTACTACTACTACTACTACTACTACTACTACTACTACTACTACTACTACTACTACTACTACTACTACTACTACCGCTACTGCTACAACAACTACTACTACTACTACTACTACTACTACTACTACTACTACTACTACCGCTACTGCTACAACTACGACGATGAGGAGAAGGAGGAGGACGGCGTTTACCGTTCCTACTAATGTTGCTTTCCTAGAGGCTCCAACTCCTAGGTCGGGTCGCACTGGGATTTATTGTTTTTTACCACCAGGTTGTATTACACATATGACAGTTTAGTATGTCAAATTGTATTTGATTCAATCGCTTCGCTCATTCCGCCGGCCCATGTTGCATGATCGCTACTGCTTCGCCGTGGGTCTGGGGCCATTGTGGCGCCGCCGAGGAGGAGGAAGCTGAGGATGGGCGCAAGCTGAGGGGCCGCCCACCACGGCCACTGTGAGGTGTGCGTGTGGTCAGCTGGCTGCGTGCTCCCGGTGGTGTCGCACTGATGAGGAGGTTTGCCGCTCGTTCTCTCGCTTGGCGGCTCCTTCGCTTGCTCGTCGGCCTCCGTCTCCTCCTCGTTCAGGAGCAGGAACGGGGACACAGGGGACAGCGACAACGGTGGTACAACGATATACCACGGTCTATACGGTCTGCCACGGGGGATATGATTAGCAACATTGGTTGCATATCGCTGGAGTCCGAACACTGGAGCAGCTTGGAACATCACAAACCTTGCGCACAAACACCGCCCCACCCGCGCTGCTCCTCAGGGGTCCACCTGCTGGCGGACACGCGCGTCTCTGTCTCTGCCTCTGTCTCGAGGGGCCCTTCAGGGCCCCTTCAGGGGCCCGTGAGGAGCCCTTGCGGGACCCGTGAGGGGCCCTTAAGGGGCCCTTGAGGCGCCCTGACTGAAGGAGCGTTCGAGGAGTCCGGGCCCTTCTGGGGCCGTGCAGGAGCCCTCGAAGGAGCCCCT